ATGGGATTCCAAATCCGCTTAAGCGTTACCACCGCCTCATATTTTCTGTTATAGTTTTCCGTATGTTTATGGATTACTGTGGCTTCCCGTACAACCCGACTGTGGTTTCCATCTTCAAACAGTATCGTGTTATCTCCTTCGCTAAGTACGTGTTCCGCTACTGCCGATTTGTCTATTTGAGCTATTCTACAGTTTATCCGATGTTTATTCAGCCTTGTACCCACGGATCTTTTGGTGGTACCGATATGATCTTTTCCGCAGGTGTATAGTATACAATATACCCTCACAGCTGATAGTGGATCTCTTTTGTCTTTCGCAGATCTAAGGCTTTGTTGTATTCTCCTGGTGGGCCTGAACACTGTCTGTTTTATGCTTTCCTAAGATTTTTCCGATTATCTCTGTAACCCTAGGGATGTACGGTAGAAATGCACGTGCAACCGTTTGAGATTCCTTCCTATTTCTGATGCATGCTCATGCCTTTAATTTTTCTGAATAATATTATCCATCTTCAGTATTGATACGTTGAGTAACTCTTTGAAATATGTCATGGATGTAATGTTCTCTGAAACCATACCTATTATAAAAAAACTCACAAAAGCTATTCCCTTCTTTTCCACTTTAATTGATAATGACAATGAAAGAGTTCTGGATTTCTTGATTAACAACATTAGATTATCGCATTGCCAGCACTCACTTTTGTATATATTCCACCAAACATTCGTCAAACATAAATGTTCACACGTATTAGAAAGATACCATTTCAGATGTTTGACTTATACCTAAGTAATAGATGTAAACAGAGGAAATATATGAACTTTATTTCATGATTGAGACCTATTAATATTGAGAGTTCCCAATATGTATCAATCTTACCTACTGCGCCATTAAAATACTATCGGCTTTCACATTGTGAAGAAGTCGAGAAGGTTACTCCCTATAAGGTCTTCCAACTTGTTGAATGAATACTCTCGACCTCTGTAATTGAAATAATCAAAAACTATCGATATTCAAGGAGGGAATATGACCAAATATGAAACAACCAGAGCTATCAACTAGTCATGTCCGTATGGCTATTCGACATTATTATTCTGCGTTATAAACTTTATGACAAGCTCAAGCATCAAAAGCTAACGTGAATCATATAAAATGCAGCCCGCATTTCAGTTGATTAACACTGAATGTTTCGAGTTTGAAACTCTGACCCATGTCTTGTCACATCAGATGCATGTGTGTATACTAAAATCTGCTCTATCTGCTTTGGACATTTTATGTCGAATAACTCGCTTATGATGCATTAGGATCGGGCTAAATGCAATTTCCGACGTTGCAAGAGCTGACAGTCTGATAATGTAGTTGTATCACGGAGGTGGATGTCGCAATGAGCGATGGTTTATTGCAGGTCTAGTTATCTTCAGATGAGTGATGCGAAACGCGTTCCACTGTATTTATATTGTCTTCTACTTCTTCAATAACTCACCGAACTCATACGCTACATTTTAACTATTGTAAGAGCGCTGACGTTTTGGTGAAATATGACGTGGCCGTGACTTGAAGTGTTTACCTCGCAATATGATATCCATAACTATCTCACACGATCAGATGATTTATTGAGAAAAATTCTGAGAAAACTCCTTGAATTGTAATTCATTTAACATTCACCAGTTGTTACAAGACGGCTGACTCATTGTATCTAAAGCCAAGCAAAAATTTCGAGAATTTCTATCGAGAAATTGCTTTCATTCAGAAAATTAATTCTTGAGCAAGAAATCCACAGATGAGGATTTGAAAAAAAACCACCTTCTCTTGTTCCTAGTGTACTTGTCATGGACTGTACTGGTCTTTAATTATTTCAATAAATAGTTTTCAAACTGGTTACCGAAATTCGATAAATTACACCCATAATTTATTGGCAACATACTCAAAACTTATTTCATATTGAGGTATTGATAATAAGAAATTAAGCAAAAACCATGGCAATGTTCTTTTTAGATGGTATCCTTAAGAAAACTCCAAATAATTTCCGTGGCAACGTTAGTTGAGAACGCCTTGTCAACTTGTTTTGTATGTTACAACATTAGTTTTCCGTATATTGATTCAAGTTTAAAGTTCGTTAACTTCGAGTCTGACAAATGGTTAGATTAACGGAAATGCACAAAATAACAGTTTTACATATGATCGGTTACGGAGATAAAACCCGAACACAACAGGAAGTACCTCGCCCATTTCATGAGAAATTTCCTAATTTACCACCCATATCTCAAGGAACATTAAGTAAAATAGAGAAACAGTTTCGCCAGCTTGGTCATCTGGGGCAGATAAAAAAGCAGCTGCTAATGCAATGAGTGATGAACTCAAATCAGATATGATGCTTAAGTTTGAGGAAAACCCACATACATCGAGTAGACAGGCATCCATTACATTCAATGTTAGCCATACATCGATAGTAAACATACTGAAAGACAATAAAATTCATCTCTATAAAGTGATACCTACTCAGGAGCTCAGGGAAGACAATTTTGATAGAAGAACTTATTTTTGTGAGCAAATGATGGACATGTTGGATAACAATATCATCCATTTAGAAGACTTTATGGTTTCTGATGAATACCCTCCAAAGGTTCATGTTTGGGTTTGTAGGAAACCATATCCCTGATCCCTTTTTCATTGAGAGCAACTTGAATGGCGATAATTATTTGGCACTACTTCGAAATGATGATATTTCAAATTTAGTAAATTTATATCCTGATCCAGGGAACCCTCAAGTTCCAGTGATTACGATATGGTTTCAGCACCACGACATTACCAAGTTAATGTCCGGCAATACCTCTATACAACATTTCCCAATCGGTGGATGGGGAGGCGAAGATCGATTGAATGGCCAGTGTGATCACCTGATCTTTCATCATTAGATTTCTTTTTTTTTGTTATATGTAAAGAGCAATGTGTACAAAACTAAACCTTCAGATTTGAATGACTTAAAATAACGAATAACACTTGCGATTAGGTCAGCCACGCCTGACATGTTGAATAATGTTGGAAGACAGTTTTATTTGAGATTGGGATATTGCCAAGTCGTTCGCGGTGAACATTTTGAGCATTTTCTTCGTTAACATCCATAGTTCTGTTTCGTATTCTACATTTCATTACGTTTTGCATTACATTTTTGTTTTTAAGTGTATTTTATCGAATTTCGGTAACCACATGATTTTAATTCATTTTATCTCAATTGTTGCAATAAACTTGAAAGCCATAACATTTTTGAATAGAGAATAAAGAGACCTTTCACGCGATATATCACAAACCTATAATTCCTATTCAAAAAATTAGGGGTTGTACCAGTCATTCGAAGGGGGTTGAAGGGGGGTGGTATTTTTACGTTGAAGAATGTCAAATTATAATTTACATTTGACGTGTTTCGAATTTTTTTAAATATGTACAGTAACCGAAATAATGAATTTATTCCATTTGGCTTTTACAACACTGTATATGGCTACATATGTAGCCAAAATGATTTATACAATTTATACAGATAATCAACTAATTGCTTCATTCACTCCGGTTACAAAATTTAATATTGCTGTAAATTATCTCCTGAAAAAATAACGGAAGTCGGCGCTGGTCTTCTTCGATCAACTACGACTTAGTCAGTCCAACTTGTGTCTCTCTCAAAATTTCTAGAACGCCGCGTCTGTTCGAGAATCGTTTCTTCAGCTTCCAAAGAGTTCCTCAAGGTTGTAATAATGTTGAATTCATTCGTGAAGTGTGGTTAATTATTGTCAAACCTATGGGTAAAAACGTAACAATATGGTGGCAAGTACAGAGATGATAGTGGAAATAAATAGATGTCCGGTATCGACATGTAAAATAGAAAAACTTGATAATTGACTCAGAGAATCTGAAACACCGATATTGAACCATTGTAACCTTTTTATTAAAAGTACCTGGCAAGAAACCTTCATTAGGAAACCGTCCGAGAAAAGAACCGAAGAACTACTTCAATATAGTAGAGATCGGCTCAGAATAATTACAGGGTTACTAACCGGTCATTGTCCGCTTAGAGGACACTTGAATAAAATGGGGCTGTACAACGGAGACCTCAGCTGCAGATAATGCAACGAATGTGAGGCACTGAATTATAGTAGGCAGGCAATATATGGACGTACGAAATAACGTCCAGCCTGATGGAATGGGTGTCATCAGAAGATGGGAGAATAAACGCAATGAGCCCAAGAGGCTGCAGTGTTTTCTGGAGACTTGGACTAAATGGATAAGACAACGGACAATTATTGCAAAATGACTGGGTACGTGAAATAAACGAAAACAGTGACGGGGGCTTATTAGGGAAGACTGGCAAATGTCAGTAGTTGGTGAGCGATACGCTCTGGATCTTTTTGGCAGTACCGAGGTAGGGAAATTTCTAGAGACGGATAGTCAACCTCAATAGACTTCGAAGTAGTTGGGCTTATGGGCTGACCAAAATAGTTAACAAAATTGTATGTTCAGTAGTATCGAATGCGTTTGAATAGTCCAAGAGAATTTAGATTGTTACTTTATTCGCATCTTCAGTTTCAGTTACATTATGCACTGTTTCTAGTGGCGATGTATCATGGCTTCAACCACTCCTGGAACTGAGTAATATATTGTGTGGGTTGGAATAACTTCTAAGTTGATTATTTATTATCCTTCCTATATTCTGCGAAAAAGTCAGAAGAACGCTTATTGACCTCGAATATATTTTGTAGGTTAACATACATTCTCAGTTGATTATTTATTATTCTGCCAATATTCTATATTCTAAAGACCCATACACTGTGGACCAAACCTAACCTATATTCTGCAATGGAGTCAGAAGAAGATTGAAACTTTACAACTTTAAGAGTGAATTTCGATAAAAAAACTTTTTGACCTATTTTCATCATTGAACAAAAAATATGGAAATTTAACTTCTAACATCAGTCAAGTCTTGTTGACCTTAGACTCACCCATTCTTTATATTTCAGTTCACTGTATTCAAGAAGATGCAGTCCACATCACTGCAATACTCGGTGAGTCGGTGGTGTTCAATTGCCACGTGGAGTTCCCTGAGGGACACCCCGTGCCGTTCGTGTTGCAATGGGAGAAGAAGGTAGGCGACACGGTAGGATTTCACACCCTCTGCTCTCTTACTGTGACGGTGGTGGCCCCGGATATTAAGACAGGCTGGGCCCATACTGGCCCTAGGTTTGATCCTTGCGGAACCACTTTTACTTTTATGCTTGCACAAAGAACTGGTTACGAGGGTTTTTAAATACGGACAAAGTAGTCTGAATATGTCTTCAAGCGTTGATGTTTTATAAAAACTATTTCGTAACTAGTTTGTGGTTTCGCAAGGCTTAGAGGAGATGCATTGCATGGTACTACTATCAATAGATTTAAGTAAATATCGAAGCCCGTATGACAATCGTTAAAAGAATGGTAGCGACTTGATTACTTTTATCGAGTGGTAAGATGATTTTTCTGAAATATTTTCTGAATTTCACAACCTCATAAAATATTTATAAAAATTTTTTTATTACAAAGGGGGAGTAATTCAGTTATTTAGGTATTTGAAAGATATTATGAGTGCATTCATGCTATTTTTTGAAGATGGAAATAAGGTGAACTGAAATCTGAGAAACTTTCCTGGCGATTTTATTAAAAGATACAAAAATACATCATTTCGTTCAAAGCTACAATAGATAGGTATAGTTCAAGTAAACGATATAGTGCAACTTACCTTACAACAGCTCTCCTTTAATAATATAGTTAGGGAGCTAACTAAGATCGTTATTCAATAATCATTTCTGCTTTCTTCGAAAGCACATTCTTCCACATTCTCTGTTTCATTATCACTGTCGTCATTTAAATCATGGAAGTATCCAATCTCCATATAGTCTTTTTCAACTAAAATTACTTTTTTTGATCCTTTTCTGCCAGTCTTCTTCGGTAATATTAGATACTTCTTCTTTAACTAGCTATATTACCTTCTCATCAAATTTTGGAAAATTATTTTTACGACTCATGATTTGTTTCAATTTTTTCCAAATCAACTCAAGGGGATTGAGAACCCAAAAAATAGGGAGGAAGTCTCAGTATGGTATGTCCATACTTTTCAGCAATACTCTCAAGGGCATACACTTTTTCAACTGTTTTTGTCTGTAAAATTTAAAGTAGGTGCTTTTTGGTATAATCTTCAAAATACGAATTTTTATTTATTGAAAAACTGTGTATTTCATCTTTCCTCGACCTTTTAATCGGTACTTTGATGAGCTGTCGCGAATGATAAGAAGCGTTGTCAAGAACTATTACACTATTCGCATCCAAATTTGGGATCAATGTGTTTTCAAACCATTCCTCGAAAATATTAACTTCCATGTTCTTATGATAGCCAACATACTTGTAGTAGTCCTCAAGTTTTTTCACACATAATCTCAAAGAATTCGGAACCCATCCTTCACTTACTCCGCAATGCACAATGATTAGTCGCGATTTTTTGTTTGCAGGCATGTTGGGCGTACACATTCTCGAACCATCAGTCCACCCTTTCGAAACTGTGTCGTGAGTGTCATAAAAAGTTTCGTCCAAATAGAAAATTTGCCGTGGTACTTGTCTATATTTAGTTATTTGTTCTGAGTATTTCTTACACAATTCCACTTTTCTTCTGCTTTCCATAACTGCTTGACGTTTGTTTATTATTTTAAATGTAAATCCTAGTTTCTTTATCTAATTCTGAAGAGTTTTGTCACAGCAGCTCACGCTATGGCCGGAAGTATTCAATTTCTTACATATGATTTCAGTTGTAGAAATCTCATTGTATATTGTTTTTTTCAATGTTTTTATTAGATGAACATCTGAAGGTTTTGGTTATCCTATATCACATCGCGTCTTGCGTTCATAAGGTTTATTTTTGACTATTTTCCATAGTTGAGAAAGGAATTTCGGTCAAATCTGAAGTTGCTTGTAATAGTTTGTTTCCCTCGAAACCAAACAATTTATCTATATTTCATCTAAATGTTCAAAGTCTCTCCAATAAAATAAATCAGTTAAATTGTTTTCTAGAAAATGTAAACTTTGAAGTGATCTGTTTATCTGAACATTGGTTACAAACAAACACTCTTACACTCGTTAATATTAATGATTATTCTTTGGCGTCTTATTTTTGTAGAAGTTCTAGGAACCACGGAGAAGTATCTATTTTCATTAAATCAAATTTGGGATATAGGGTTATTGATTGTGATGATTTCAATAGCGAAATGAATTCCGAATTTTGTGGTACTGAGATTATTTCTCTTAAATTAATAATGATCACTTGAACAGTTTCTGTAAAACTTGGAGAACCTATTGATGAAATATATATCCTCGTGTCAGAAAATTATCATCTGTGGAGATTTCAATGTAAATTTCAATTCGAAGTCAAGTGAACTACAGGAATTGATTTGTCTTATAAGTTCTTTCAATATTGAGGACACCATAAGTGAATATACCAGAGTTTCTACACATTCTTCAACTTGTATAGATAATATTTTGACAAATTTCGAAAATGATTCCTTCAAAACAGGTATAATTGAACCATGTCTGTCAGATCACTATGGTCAAAATATAAGTTTACTAGCCGATAGTGATTCACCTGAAAAAATATGGAGAAAACAAATTAATGATAAAAATATTACCAAATTCAAATCCAAATTAATGAATATAAATTGGAACACTAGTATACAAAATTTAGAAGAGTTTGTAAACAATTTTTTAGAAACTCTCTCACATCATGTCGACCAATTTTTTCCAATGAAACAAGTTTTTCAACAAGGGAAAACAAGAATGAAATGGTTTAATGATGACTTGCGGCAAATGAGAGAAAATCTCAGTTGCATTAAAACTATCTGTGATACCACCAAAAGCGCGGAAGATCTTCTTGCATTCAAAGTATATCGTGAGCAATATAGAAAAAAAAAACTTGAAAATGTAAAAAGAGAGTCATATAGTTATATTGTTAGAAACTCTGATAATGAACAAAAAAGTACTTGGCAAATTATAAATCATGAGTTGAATAGAAACTCGAGACAAAACCAAACTTGTGATATAAACGGGGATATTTTCATGAATTCTTCATTAATATAGCAGAAAATGTTATTTCAGAACTACCCGAAGTCTAATTCACTTCGAATGATTTACTTAATGGTGCTAAATCATCATGTTCTTCATTCTCTCTTGAACCTGTAACGCCATCAGAAATACCTAATTGATGCAGTGATATCCTTGAAAAATTCTTCTTGCTTAGATGTTTACGGTATGAACAGTGCAATTATCAAGGGTATAATTGAAGCAATTGACATTTTTATTCAACTCGTGTATACAAAAAGGGTGTTTTCCAGACATGTTTGAATGTACAAAGGTATTGCCTCTTTTTAAAAAAGGAGACAGGTCTCTGGTTGTTAACTATAGACCAATATCAATCATTCTCGTTTTGGGAAGAATCTTTGAAATTATTTTGAAGAACAGACTCATGAACTTTTTTATTAATAACAAATTATTTAGTGAAGATCAATACGGATTCAGAGCCGGTAGATCAACAACAGATGCAATTCAGAAAACTGTGAGTCTGGTTATCGAGGGTCTTGAGAGAGGTGAACATGTGATATTAATCATGTGTGATCTCTCTAAAGCATTCGACTGCGTTTCGCACGATGTTCTGTTCAAAAGGTTAGAGTTTTATGGAGTGAGGGGGCTACCACTCAGTTTATTTCAGTAGTACTTATGTAACAGAATCCAATCTGTGTGTGTGAATGGAAACATGCCTGACAATAAAACTATCAAGAATGGTGTACCGCAGGGATCCGTTCTGGGACCATTGCTAGTCTTGATATATTTCAATGACTTCAGTCATTTTATGTCACCAGGTAAATGTGTTCTTTTCGCAGATGACACAACTCTAATAACGTCTCAGAAAAACATAATGATGATACTCTGAGACAGGCGTATCTGTGTTTCACAACAAATCAGGTGAAATTAAATGAAAGCAAGACCCAGAAGGTCTTGTTTACGATCTCAAATACTGAAACCACTGAAAATGGCGATGATACTGCCAAACTACTAGGACTCACTTTCGACCGGAATTTATCATGGTATGCACACATTGCTGAACTGAGTAAGAAACTGTGTAAGAGTATATTTGCTTTTCAACAGTTGAATAGAGTATTGTCTCTTGACGCCCTGAGAAGTTCATATTTTGCTTTGTTCCACTCACATATGAATTATGGCATTGTTTTGTGGGGTAATTCCTCTTACTCCACAAAACTGTAAGCCACTTTTCAAAAAAATTGGTATACTATCACTACCATCGGTATTCATATATAGTCAATTACTTGAAATTCATTGAATATCACTCTCTACAATCATCTTCCTAATTCGTTCAAAGTGCTCAAACAAAGCTCCTTCAAAAACAGAGTCAGAACTATTCTCCTGGAAAACTGTTTTTATAGTACTCAGGATTATTTAAGTACTTCAATTATGCCTATTTAGATTTGGTTTTATTTCATCTGATATGTGAAGCTCATGTTTATACATAATATTTGTTTTTTGACACTTTCAAAAATTTTAGACTGATTATTGTAATGTGTAATTATCTTTCATTTTATTCACAATTTATGATTCAATATTTTTAACTTGTGAATAGTTTTTTCTTCTTTTTCTATGTATATTTTACTGACTTGCAACAAACATTCAAGTGTAAAGTTGTCAAATAAATATATCTATCTATCTATAAATATATTGAGTTGCCGTCGAGATTTTCACTCCACAATTTTTCTTTTCAAACTGGTTAATAATTTAATTATTGATCCACATATTCTGCAAAAACTAAAACAATCTCTAGGGTGGTTAATTTTTGTTATCTGTCAACACAACCCAACGAATATTCTGAAACGTTCACCTCTGCATAACATGTGTGTCAAATGCAATTCTGCAAGTTGTCAGCTCGACATTTTTACTGTTCCATCTCTGAGATTAGGTCTTTTTATATTTGTTTACAAGCTCTGTCTGATAATGATATTTATATAAAAATAGACAGTTTGTCAATATTGCCAAGTATATTCTTCAATTCATGATATAAATATAGAGAGC